CTCCTCCATCATCATCATCATCATCATCATCATCATCATCATCATCATCATCATCATCATTGTAATTTATTGATTAGCCATGAGGCTATATCAGAATACAAAATACAAAACAATATTAAGACTATATATAACAAAATACAGCAAAAGGCAAAACTAAAAGAAAATACAAGTCATATTTCTGAATCATCCCTATAATTTAACCTAATCAGATCCACATATACAGTTCTGAATTGTATTGTTTTATTCAGATAAAAGGCAGTATTATATTTATTTATTTACTTACTTACACATCACATTTATATATCCGTCCATCTCACAAAATGACTTTGGGCAGCCATATAACTGTGATGTATAAGTAAATAAATAAATATAATACTGCCTTTTATCTGAATAAAGCAATACAATTCAGAACTGTATGGGTGGATCTGATGTAATATTTGGGTTCTGACCACACATAAAATATGATGTGCTGAGGTATGGATCAATATCCTTAATTTCACATGCTAGCAAAATAATGCCTGGGATCATCCAGCACAGATTCGAGCCCTACATGAAAAAAGAGATGCCAGATGTTCAAGCTAGCTTTAGAAAAGGCCAAGGAACACAAGATATTATTGCTGATGCACACTGGATAATTGAGGAAGCCAAAGAATACCAAAAAGAAGGCACTATGTGCTTCATTGATTAATAGAAAGGCTTTCAATTGTGTCAATCATCTCAAGCTGTGGAAAGTGCTCAGGAAAATGGGAATCTCAGAACATCTCATTGTTCTCACAAGAAAACATATTCTATATTCAGTTCAGGAAGCCACAGTACGGACAGAACATGGTGAAACAGACTGGCTCCAGGTTGGCAAAGGAGTGCGACAAGGCTGTATACTCACCCCTTATTTATTCATCCTGTATGCTAAATATATACATTAAGGGAAGCTGGATCGGAAAAAGATTAACATGATTTTAAAACTGGAGAAAGAAACAGCAAGCCATGATATTCCCTGTGACATTCTATGGAAGCGAAAGTTGGACTTTGAAGAAGCAAGATAGGAAGAGTATTGATGCTTTTGAATATGAGTGTTCAAGAAGACTCCTGAGAGTATAGACAGCCAAGAAAACAAACAAATGGATCATTGAATAAATCAACCCAAAGTTCAAATGACCAGGTTCAAATTATCCTACTTCGAACACATTATGTGAAGACTTAGTTCTCTAGAGAAGGCTGTAATGCTGGGAAAGGAGGAAGGAAAGAAAAGAAGAGGACGACCAGCAGCAAGATGAATGGACTCAATTACAGTGGTGATGGGTGCATGTTGGAAGATCTGAAAGACCAGATTAGGGATAGACTGTCACAGAAAAAAATCTACGTGGTTACTAAGAGTCGACAATGACTTGATGGCACATAGTCAATCAATCAATGTATGGAACCAAATGGGCTATCCGTCTAATGTGTGATTCAAGATACTTGACTCTCACTTTACTATACTTGGTTCTTAAAATGAAAATTGTAATATTGGTATAAACGTGTCAATTCATAACTTTATTTTTTTACATATGTTTTTGATTCCTATTTAATTTCTCTATCTTCCTCTTCCCTCAAAACAACTTAACACATTTGTAAACAAGTAGCTATTTACTCCCCTTTTCCTGGGTTTGCCCAACATTTTGAACTACAAAAAGCCTAATTAAAGTTAAAACTAAGTTTTGTAGTCTGTACACATGCAGCTACTTGATCTTCAACTAACATGGTAAATGAGTTATACAACAACAGCCATAATATTCTTGATCATTTTTCCTCACTATTCTCACTTAATTATTATGTTGTATTATAATGAATAGAGATGAACAGACAAATCAATTTTTCCTCTCAAAGAATAAAAGTATCCAGTTGTTAAAAAGCAAGTTTGCAACTTCTAATTGGCTCTGTATATTAATTGCTATGAATTATCCTTAGTGTGAATAGCCTTCTGTTTGCAACTGCCTTCTGTCTGAGAGTTTGGATCCAATCTAGTTTAAAGACTATGGTGGTGGCAGGTGTCCATGCAGAATTAACATTTGGGCAGCAGACTGAAAAGGTATATGTCACCATCTTCCCCATAGTATTTTAATTTAAATGATAGTTATTGATTCTTATCAATTAGCAACTCTTATGCAAATCTGTGTTCTCGTGTCTTTGCATAAGCTATTCTCCCTAGTAGTTTGCATTTTACCTTTCAAAATTAGAATCTCAGTAGTTTGCCAAAAGACTTCAAATGACAAACCAAAAATGTATTCTCTTGATAATTTATTGGAATTAAGTGATGCTGAGTATGCATTGTCATAAAAACGAGAAGTGCTTCCAAACATTTTTCTAAGATAATCATTCTCACATATTGTTTTCCAGAGATTTTGATACTAATAGCTACAATTCACCCTACCTAAAGCATACCAGGTTGGGGAGGGCTCACCTAATCCAATCTTCCTTCCAAGGATCCGGAAAATGATAGTTACAAATGAGCCAGAGGCCTACCAGTGGTCTACGAATCAACCATCTGTCTGACCTTGCTATAAATGAAAGGTTTTATTTTTGCAAACCACCCAAATATTCTGAGAGATAGTCAAAACTATTTTTAGTCTTTGTTTCTTTAAATCAAATAACTTTGATTTAATAGATATATTTGGTAGTGATGGAAAATCCTAAATGAATATTGGCATGAATCTTTTTGAGTATAGATGATTTGTTAGTTTAGTTTGATGTGAGCCAATCAAAAAATTGCCTTCTTGTTAAACTATATGTTGAGAAATAGATTTTAAAATTTGAACTACTTTCTAGTTCTTTAGTGGTTAATGCATATTCTTGGCCTTTTCCCACAGATTTGGACTATCTTTTATCTTTAAATGTTGATGCTGCAAAATCTCTGTGTAAGCAAAGATTATATGAAAGTGCATACAGGTCAGAGGGGTTTCCCCCCTTACTGCTACTTTAGCTCAGCACCTACAAACACCCTTTACTCCTCAAATGGTACACATGTATGTTTCCAAATCTGATATTTGCCACCTTCTTTTCTTCTCCCCTCCTATTATTTAACCCTCATAGAAATGCATCTGATCAAACATTTGATTATATTTTCTATATTGTTGCCAAAAATACCGCAAGTCACTAGGAGTCCAGCCGAGCTCCAAGGGGACTTTATGTATAAACTTAAAATCAAGTTTTCAAACCAGAATTGTACAATACTTTTCTGGCTGAAGATTGTTGTAAGCAGAAAACTGGGGAGACCATTTCAAATAGTGGACAGAACCATGAGAAAGAATTACTAGGACAAATATTTAAATTGATTTTATGTCAAATTTATTTTAAAATGAATCAGTTGCAACAGTTAATATGAATACTCCTCGTGCATTTATTAAGTTTCCTCTTTGGTCATATTACAAAATTCAATTTTGTGGCAACTTTTGAGGAAGACTTAGGGGACCGTAACCAAGTTTTGAGGGGGGCTTGCACCACTCCAGGATTATCCTTGCTTTAAAACTGGAACAGCTACTTTGGGATCAGGCAATTACAAGGGCTCTGTATAGGTATTTCCTTATTTTTGCCATTATTTTTGTTTTTTACAATTATATCACTTATGGATCTTTCCTACCAGTAAAAAAATGCTACTTGTACATCTAGTTTTTTAAAAAGTTGGATTTCTTTATTACAAATTGTCTTTTACTTAAATTATTTAATTAGAGGACAAAACGACAAAAGCTTATTTTTCAGGAAGGAAGATTACTTAAACCTATCCACAGTTTTTCCCTCAGATCAGAAGATTTCTTTTTCAGGATTTTTTTTTTTCAGCCTTCATTTTGAAGGCTAGACAGAAAAACCTGTAAAAAACATTTAGATAGTCTTTCCCTTGGAAAAGGAACAGTAAAGAAAAAAGTTAATGCCAAACTTGCATTTAAATGGCAGAAGAATTATTGTCATGGTTTAAAATAATAAAAAAACTATTTCTAAAATTATCCCCTTCATCTCAGATCAATATGCCTCCAATGACAATGATATAATATATCTGCCTGGTGTTCTTGATCTTTATATTGCCAAATAAAAGCTGGATGAAGTTTGTAGAAATAATTTTTATATATTTCATGCTGTTTTACTTTTTTTAAAAAAGCTTTAAATAGACTGTTATTAAAGAAATCTTATTTGATGGGAACATGAACTTATTCAGAGACAGTTAGAGAGGCCATAAGGAAAAACATTTCACTACAGGCACAATGGATCTAAAACAGCTAGTATTACTTTATCAGTCCACAGTGGACAACCTATTACTATAATTGCATTTTAACTGGAGAGAGAGAAAACCACCATAAACTGGATCAGAAAGTAGATAGAAGTGCAGCACACGAAACATGGCAAAGCAAATGTTTAGTGATACTGTCATCCCTGTTCACTGCCAAAATTTAGTAAATAAAGACTGGTAATTTCAGACTGACTGCGATGGAAGAATGTACTGGGATAGAATACACAATT